TTCAAATAAAGTCTACTTCTCTATAAATTTGTAATTATAATTAATACGACTGTAGATAACTTGGTGATTGTTACGTTTTATTTATTTGAACACAAATACTGGCACAATGGGGCACTAGATACATATGCGCCACACAAATCTCATTTGATTTGTGTGAGCGCTGTGATACTGCTCGGCTGCCCACACCGAAACAGGAGGTCTCCTCCTTAGAGGGCTACACCCCGAGCCTTCAACATAAAGGTCTAATCCACAAGGCAGTGGAGCAACGTGAGGAGATGCAGGTCCATGGTAGCCAGTGACCAACGATTGGTTCATATATCATTTGTTCCCTCAGGGTACTGGAGCCCATGTGCACCAGTGGTTTGGAATCAGGGTTTTTCAACTCCCCTAGGTGAACCCTCTATTTTCACCAACCCGGTTGAAGCTTCGGACATTCACTTTTCGTCCTCTCGATTTCGTAAACAACACCCCTGCCAAGAGAAGGCAGTGAGTAGGACTTCGCTGGTAGAGGCTATATACGCGTGGCCACGTGAGAGCGTTTCGAGAGGGAGAGCGGACTTCTCCCCACTCTCGGTCGTACCAGGGCATTTTGGGGGCGATTGTTACTTTAAAATGATGATAATATTTAATTAAATAATACAAAAGATAATATCAATTTAAATGTTTACTCATTTATTAAGTGTATCAGATAAATAAAATCACCCTCTTATTTTACCATAGATAATATTAACAAGTTGTTACTTTAAAATGTTTTCCGGTCCTATTTTTCTTCACTCCACTTCATTTCTTCCTAATAGCACGTGGTTTGGATATACCTAGTATACATAATGTAATCAATTATGAAGTTGCACGAGATATTGACACACATACTCATCGAATTGGTAGAACTGGTCGTGCAGGGGCAAAAGGAACAGCTTATACATTATTTGTTGCTGGAAAAGATCCAGTTGATTTTGCAGCGTGTTTAGTTCAACATTTAGAATCCGGTTCACAAACAGTTCCACAAAGACTTCTTGATATCGCTCTAAAGTGTACTTGGTTTGCAAATAATCGATCTTCGCTTAACAGTGGAAACGGCGGTTGTATTAGACCAAGTGGTGGATTTGAACCTCGACAACCCCGTGCCAGACCAGGATTAGGTTTATCATCCGATAGCAGTGAATCAAATTACTGTCCACGTAGTGGTCCGGCAGCTGCAGCAGCGGCAGGTGAAGGAGCTGAATTAATTCGTCCAGGTGGTAAGTTATACTTTTTTAAGTCAAATTTATTCACTATACTTTCAGTATTCTGTAATCAGCAATTTTAGCCATTTTCTCATTCATTTAGTAGGTGAATGTTGCATATTATAGTGTATTTTTCACTAAATATGTCAAGTCCCCGGAAATATCCGCTATGAACATGTCATGTGAAAATACCAGTGAAAGTAAGGATTTGAAATGAAATCTCTACTAATAATCACACCGTAATATGCAGCATTCACTCACCACTGAATAAACGGAGTAATGATCAAAACTGTTGAATACAACAGACCTACTAAGCACTTGAAACGCTTATGACAAACTCAACCATCAATTATATTATATTATGTGGTGTCTAAGTCTGATATTGAAAAGCAATCTTCCTACACACGAGCCCATCGAGTGAAAAGGCTAAGATTGATAAAGGAAGTGTTTTGGCTACATTGAATTGGCATGTATAGTATACTCATTTTTATGTATATTCAGGGATTAAGCTACCAATGGTATATGTTTCTTTCTTAAGACATGTAAGTCATTTGTTGATCATTATCATTTGGTCGATTACTGATTGATCCAATCTGTCAGTCTACACGCGTGTATTTATGCTCAATAATTGTATGAGACTAGTAAGATGATATCAAGTTGCTACACAAATGACGGTGAAATGTCCCTCTTACCTATTATTGTAGGTTATAAAGCAGTCCAATTCATTTCACTTTATAACTTTTAAACATGACATCAGAAAATAAAAGACAGTCGTATGCTCCTAATACTCGTCAACCATAGATACATCTAAAGTATTACTCGTTTATGGTAGAACAGCTTAGTGAACATTGTTCAATTTAAAAATATGGTACTAGGGGAAAATTACAAGTCGATAGACGTCTCCAAATCATTGTTCATCTTGTTCCAGAATAGTGAGCACAAATATAAATTATTCCATACTTTTTATATCTGTATTTCATTGCCTTCCCTTCGAAACAACATGTTCTCCGGTGTTCAAGTTTATCTTACTACTTTTGCTTTGACCTTATTTACTGTTCATCTTTCTAATTTCATCCCGCTGTGATTGGTTTTGTATGTATGACAAATTAGACTGATGGACATTGTGCTAGATCTTATGTCCATTATAATTGGCCGACTGACTTGGAAGACGGTCCTTGAAAAAAATTCAACTGACAAAATTGAACTGGAAATCTGTATCTTACTTACGCCTGTTACTCTTCGTGAAGGAACATAGGCCGCTCACCACAACTATCCATCCAACCCTGTCCTGAGCAATCCTTTCCAGCTCCTTCCAGTTGTTATTCATCCTTTTCATATCGGTTTCTATTATCCGACGTACTGTGTTCTTTGGTCTTCCTCTTTTCCGCTTCCCTTCAGGATTCCAAGTTAGGGCTTGTCTCGTGGCGCAGTTTGACGATTTGTGTAATGTATGTCTTATCCATTTCCATCGTCTTTTCCTAATTTCTTCTTCAGTTGGAAGTTGCTTTGTATCTTAGTTCAATCAAAATTAAGATTTAAGTTTACTCGTTTTCTTTTTACTGACAAGTTATTGTGAAATTGAAAAAAAACCCCACTTATTATCGATTTCATTCACCATAGGTTTACAAGCAGATCGATTTTCTGCCATGAAAGCAGCGTTTTCAGCTCAATATAATCGAAGATTTGTATCGGCTGGTGTTGAAGCTAGTAGATATACACATCCAGAAATGTTGAAATCATCAAATACAACTGATAGACCTCAACTTGCAGACAGTTTTATTGTTCAAAGTAATAACCCAGAAGAATCCCAGTGTCCGCAACAACCTCGATCATCTCCAGTTACACCACAAAATGTACAAACGGATTCTAAGCAAAAACGTTCGAGATGGGATTAAATGATATTTGTGTAAAGACGTTTTCCAATTCTAAACGCATTTTTTTGATTGTTACTTCACAGTTTGTAACTTTCATACATACATACATATATATACACACAACGCAATAAAAGTTTTAATCATTTGATCTAATCGATAATTGGTTGTAAACAGGGGGAGGCTATTATTAATTAGAAATGCGTTAAACAAACCTATCTACCGTAGATTAGCTACAATGCGCATCTGTTAACCAGTTGGCTAACGATTAGAAACTCACGCCTCTACCTACCTACTTCAGTTTGAACTGTTTGATCATCACAATATGTGCACGGCTCGAGACGGAGTACTTAAAACTTGTATTTACTAAATGAGATACATATTTCATTAAAGAATTATTCGAATGTTTAAGATTGATGTCAGATGGTTGGAGTTAGTCGGTAGGAAACCACATATGATCTAGATTTCATGCTAGTTGGTACACATCAGCAATACATACCTGTAATCTTGAAGGAACTGATGTTCTCTGACGGGTTTGAACGCGGATCACCGAGCTCCACAGTCTGAACTGTTTACCATGGAGCTTATTCGAACCTCAGCTGACCTTCTGTGGGCTGAATATTTACATCAATTAATCGCTGTTCATGCTTTAGTGGTAATTGTATTGAATATCTGTTATTCACTGAATCCTCCAGATTTCCTGGTACGGCCGAGAGTGAGGAGGGCCCGCCTCCCTCTCGAAACGCTCTCGCAGGGCCACGCGTATACAAACTCTCTCAGGGAGTCCTACTCACTGCCTTCGTGTGGCGGGGTGTTGTTTACGAAATTGAAAGAACGAAAAGTGAATGTCCGGCGCTTTAACCTGGTTGGTGGACATGGAGGGTTCACCTAGGAGAGTTAGGGAACTGTAGTGGCTGTACTTCGTTGATCAATCACCCTCGTAACCATTATCATATAATCCTCAACGGTGTTTGAAATCAGAAAGCAAAGAGAAGCAGCGACTACAGTTTTATTAGCAGATAACTCAGACCACAAAGCAGTGAGGCGAATGAGTGAGTCAGCGAACCGAGTGTTAAATGTACAATTAAGCAGTTAATAATAAAGTTAACAGAATGAATATATGAGTAAGCGGTAAGCAATGTTCAAGCATACATATTTCATACAAGCACAACAATAATAAAGGTACAACTATATAGATAAGTTATTATAGTACGGATGACTTTGTCCGCTAAATAAGTTAACAAAAAGGCTTAACTGAGTTAAATGAAAACAAACTCAATTGCACGTGAGTTGCTATAAGACCCTGATTTCAAACCAATGCTCCACATGGGCTCCAATACCCTGAGGGAACAAATGGCGTATGGATCGATCGTTGGTCACCGGCTACCATGGGACTGCATCTCCTTACATTGCTTCACTGCCTTGTGGATCAGACCTTTAGATCGAAGGCTCCGGATGTGGCCCCCTAAGAAAACCACCTGCCTCGATCTGGGCACCCAGGCAGTATCACAGCCCACACACAAATAAAATAAATAAAAAAACTGAACAAACTTTGAATCTGCTTTTTTAAAAATTATAATTAGTAATAATCAAGTAGTATACAGATTCTGTTTGAATGTTGTTGTCAGTAGTAATTTAATCACAATTAAAAACTGTTTCATATTTTTACATCAAAGAAAAAAAAACGACATCAGTTGTTAATCTTGGAATTTGGTTCCAATTTCGAATTAACAACATCATAGTGGAAAGAAAGAAGAGAAGAAAATTCCTTGTTCTTTTATCTTTGTGTAAAAATGTAATAAGGCTAGTGTGTGTGTGTGTGTGTGTGTGTGTGTGTATGTGATGAACTCAGTAAGTGTTGCTTTCTGATCTTATTGAGTTCTTATTGTTGGATAGATATTTAACGTCATCCACCAGTTGAACAAAATCGTGAAGTTGGCCTGTAAGTTGTCCCAGTATCACCCATTAAAGGATTGTAATCTGTTATATTTGAGAAATAGAAAGTGATGCATATAACGTATTGTTAATGATGTTGGTACGTTTTTTTGTTTGTTGTTGAAAAAGCAAACAAACATTTGAATGATTTTAACACAGTTCGTAAATGAACTAATAAAATAGGGCGGTAATTAAAAAGAAAAAGGCATCTCAGATTGTAATTATGTAATCGTTTGCAATTCATTTGACAATGGGATAAGTGGTTCCAAACTAGTCAAAATTTTGAGAATAAATTCACTCTTTTAAAAGTAAACTATTTTTGTTAATTATGAATCTGAATAAAAAGTAAAATAAAAAGATGTGCACCCCTAATGAACCTTCAATCAGTACAACAAAATAGCTTTGTTCTTAGCTTTTCCCATTCTACTCCTGGTCTTGGTAATATCTAGTTCACAATTTTTAAGCATATAAACCAGCTAATTTGAATAAGTTTCTAGATATTAATGGTATATGATACACAATTACGTGCTGCATCTTCCCAAAAAGCACATTGACGCAAAAACTAACTTACAGATCATGTGTAGTTTATGCTTGCCTACTCACTGCCTTCTCGTGGCACTACTGTTGTTTACGAAATCGAGAGGACGAAAAGCGAATGTCCAGCGCTTTAACCGGGTTGGTGAACATGGGGAGTCCATCTAGAGGATTTGAAAAACCCTGATTCCAAACCAATGCTCCACATGGGCTCCAGTATCCTGAGGGAACAAATGGCGTATCGTTGGTCATCGGCTACCATGGGACTGCATCTCCTTACGTTGCTTCACTGCCTTGTGGATCAGACCTTTAGATCGAAGGCTCCATGTGTGGCCCCCTAGGAAAACCACCTGCCTCGGTCTGGGCACCCAGGCAGTATCACAGCCCACACACATATCAAATGAGATTTGTGTGGCGCATATGTATTTGGTGCCTCCTTGTATCAATATCTATGTGTTAAAATAAATAAACATGCTTGCCAACAGTTTTCGAGTACCTAAGTCAAGGTAGACAGTAGTCACGTTGAACCATTTGGACTGGATTTCATTTGCTTTAAAAAGCCTTGAATAAATCAACGTACATGGACATGGATTCTGTATCTTTTATCATATGTAAGGACTTCTGTTACTACCTACAAGCGAATGGACATCCCGTAAGATCATAGTATCTTTGGATTAAATAGGCAAGTAATAGTAGTAGCGATAGCTTGAAGTGGTAATTTTATTTCATGAAGCTTCTATTTTAAAATTAACTACCTGAAAATAAATAAAAGTTTATAGGTCATTTGCAAATGACCCTGGACTTACGTTTCCAGCTAGCTATCACTTGTCAGGAAGGCATGCTTGTAATATTAAGGTATGGGGTTTTAACTCATGTCACTCAACGTTATCCTGATACGTTTGCATTAAGTTATTTAACATAGAATTAAGAAGTAAAGAAATATATAAGCATGTCACTAACTTAGCAATATATATAACTTGTGAGATGGACTTTTTATGTTGTGTCGATGAGACCGTTGTACGTTACAACAGTCCTCATATGTAGTCATTACAGTCCTATTTGTTTACCATTTTTGCATTATTCAATTTATTTTGATCTTTTTTGATAGCTGATTAATGGTGTTTACATCGAATCACTTCTGACACTGACATATTCCAGTTAATCATATTTCTCAATATTGATTCAGAAAAATAGTTAATACATACTCTTGCTACATTTCACATGAACTAGGGTTGTTTTCATGATATTAATGAAAAATTAACAAAAAAGTAGAATCTAGCATGAATATGTATCGGTTCAAGATTTGTCACACTACCATACAACAACACCGTGTATTTCCTTAAGATATATAAATTCTGGTACAGTTGAGCTCTAAAATAATTACGTGCCACATAGAATAAAAAGATGACATGATGCAAAGGAATAAAAATTTCAAACGAAAAATAAGTAAACAGTAATGGTACGTGGTAGGCCCCGACTATAGCTGTTGCCTTAACGTGGTGGTTGGGCTTGTCTATCGTGATGACTCAACTGACCTACGTTCGTTGGAACATATGCTCCGTTAGATCCTAACATGCGATGGAGGACGGTAAGAATAAAAGCGGTAACTTAAAATCCAAGGGAGAAATCGTACTGCTACCCGTAGGAAGTGTGACAGAAGTAAGGTGTTTCCTTCAGACGATCAGCGTCTGTAGCGATGCCACTTTCTCACAATGGATGGAATAGGTTGGGAAAGTTCAACCCTGTAAATGTTGCCCCACTACCTCCCGGAATTCCTTCTCCGGAGACAAGGCCTTTTGAAGTGCGTAGCCAACGCACCAAAAACTTCCCATAGAAAGGCCTTGCGCTACCGGCCTCAAGAAGTTGTTCCTTGGGTTCTGCAGGTCACGTTCCCAAGTCGCTAGGACCATCACCAATCCAGCTCTCTCTTGAGGTCCCTCGAGAAGAAATATTGTTCCACAGTATGGGCGCAACCGGGAAGTGACAACCTCCTTCATACCCCTACCTCAGACTAACATAACAAGGAATACAGCTCAATTAAAAATACAACTCGGAAAGACTTCTTTCAGTTCAGAGAGTTCTCACATTTATGAAGAACGTAAAGGAAAACTATCGTATTATCGCTACTGAATTCCCTCTTGAGCCTTGCCTGACAACTTCTCAAGCAAGTGAGTTGTACCGCCTTATGACACGTAATATGTGTGGGCCAGGATAATCCCCAGTTCCCCTATTGTAACAGACCTAGAAGTTCAGTGCACAAGGTCTGGTCCAGTGCTTGCTGGTGACCGAAATAGATTCATAATCAATCCGGTTCCTTAGGATCTTGGAGCCATTGGTTTCGAACCAGTGTTTTTTTTTAACTCCCCCAGGTAAATCTCCCATATCCACTGAATCGGCTTAGGCGTCGAACGCCCGCGTATCATCTCAATTTCGTAAGAAACGTCTCTGCTACGTGAAGTTAGTAGAAATTCCTTGTCAGGCTATAAACATGGCCAAGTGAGAGCATTCCGGGAAAGGAAACAAACTCTTCCTACACTAGACCTTATCAGGGGCTAAGTTTGGTGTCAAAAGTGAAAATTAACGAGGCGAAAAGCAAACAAATGGAAAATAAACGTTAGACGTAGTGATACAGCAAAAGATCATTAACAAGGAACATATGAGGTAGGCAAATGAAAAGTATCATTTTTATGTTTAGGTATTACCTCGATAAGGCTTTTATTATTATGATGTTAGGCAACACATTTTATTCTTGCAATACGTTTATTATATATTCCCAACTATGCACAGACCATATAAGATAAGATCTTACTAACTGAAATAACGTTTACTGATGTATATATACACATATGAAATAACTCGTTATCTGACTTCAATTTAGTTTAACTTACCATTGAGTCGGAATCGTTTCTTTTTCTCACCAGAATGAGTACTTTCACGAACCTGCAAGATAACATGAACTGATGATTCAATACGAATAGAATGATCAATTTGCAATTACCAACTTAATATAATTAAATAGTGGTGGAGTAATAAGTATAGCATACTTGAGCATATATATAATTTACATATCACTCGTTTGTCTTCATCTTATGCAACCATCTTCTCTGTTGAATACTGTCATTATTTATTTACTTGAACACAAATATTGGTACAAAGGGGCACCGAATACCTATGCGTCACACAAATCGAATGAGATTTGTGTGAGCGCTGTGATACTGCTCGGCTGCCCACACCGAAACAGGTTTCCTCCTTAGAGGGCTACACCCCGAGCCTTCAACATAAAGGTCTAATCCACAAGGCAGTGGAGCATCGTGAGGAGATGCAGTCCCATGGTAGCCGGTGACCATTAATTGGTTCATACGCCATTAGTTCCCTCGGGGTACTGGAGCCCACGTACACCAGTGGTTTGGAATCACGGTTCTTCAACTCCCCTAGATGGACTCTCCATGTTCACCAACCTGGTTAAAGCACCGGACATTCGCTTTTCATCCTCTTAATTTTGTAAACAGTAGTGCCAAGAGAAGGCAGTGAGTAGGACTTCGCTGGTAGAGGCTATATACGCGTGGCCATATGAGAGCATTTCGAGAGGGAGAGAGGACTCTTCCCACTCTCGGCCGTACCAGGGCATTTGGGAGCCGTGTGGTACTTTTCATAATGCTTTAAGAGGATTAAGCCAAAGTGGGATTTAGTACGAATGAGTATCAATACAAGTTTCCACACTTCATAACAATAAAGTAAACAACAAGGCGAAAATAGTAAGATGAGAATTACAACAAATAGAAAAGTAAGAGTACTGTTGGTGACAGTAAGGAAGGACTACCTAACAGAGAATATGATTTAACACAAAAAGAATAAATCCACTGAATAAAAATTACAAAGTAATTTTGAAACCTAAGATTTAAGGAGACAACTAGTGAACACATCTGTGTTATGGTGAACGATTTTGCGCCATATTACATTTCCAACCACTAATTATAGTAATCACGAGGACCTCAACCAGATAGTGTATATTTACAAATATAGCTCAGGCCAATAGGAGTTAGGAATGCCGCCCAACTTAAAATTTAGAGGAACTTAGTGCATGAGTGTGACAAGATGGATGTTACCAGTCTCGGACCATATCGTTAGAGGTAAAATACAAAATGTAGGTTTTGGTCACTACTACTTATAAACTGTTTGTCGTGTTCTTATCGCTTTTAAGTTTGTATGAAGCACTGAAAACAAGTCCGAAAGGCACTTGTAGAAAAGTCGAGAGTTTGTTTAGATTCTTGGCCACACTTTTTATTTAATCTATAAAACCCGATGAGGATAATGGTGCCAAGTTTTGTAGTTAATGGATCAAGAGCAAAAGAAGTACAGTAGTAGGATATTAATATTTTTTACAGCTTACATTACTTTTCCCTTCTTTCTCGTCTTGATTTTTAGATTTGCACTGAGCAACCTCAGCATTGAATTCAGCTTGAAATTTTGCTCTGGCAGCTTCCATAGCTAAGCGATGTGAATCACTAACAGTTGACGAGTTTTCAGACCAAGAACGGAAGAATTTCCAAAGAAAATATGATAATGCGAAAATAAACAAAGCCACCAATCCATAATTGAAGTTCGTTTGTGGACTCACTACAAATTCCAAAAGTTTATCAGAAAATATTTTAAGATTACTTTCTGGAGCAGGAAAGTCCATCCTGAGCACGGCCTCTTTGTGAGTTTATTAATTCGTCAAGGTTGTTACTAGATGATTTACAACAAGAAAACGAACCCTGAAATTGTCCGAGAAATGATTAAACATATGAATGACTTGAAACAGACTTCATGTCTAAGAACATTTACTGTCGGTTGGGACCTCACTCGGTTTACTACAGCTTGTATAGTGTAGTAGTAATTCAAAAACGAGGACATGGAACTGATTGATCACAAAGTTGTGTTAACGATTTACCTCATCCGAAACACGTGTTGTCGAGGACAGAAACTGATATCTTTCAACAAGAAATTAGAAAATGAGCCCCGAAGTCACAGCTGAGGGTTTTAGAACCACATATGCTTTAAGATGGACATTCATCAAGTTACATACTACTGCAGTATACACAACCTTAGTGATGCAAATAAATAACTACGAATCGTATCACTATACAATATGTGGATTCGTGCTACCCAAAGTAAGAAACTGTTAATATTTAGGAGTCATATTAAGCAATGATCTCAAAACCACTAGTCACTGTAAGGCTGCTGCTGCGAAAGACTATAGGGTATTATGGTCTATTCGTAGGTCTTTCCAGTATTTAGATGATGAAATGTTTAGATTATTATACCCGATTTATGTGCGACCACATTTAGAATACGGGATTCAAGCAGCGAGTCCTTGTTTCAAGTATGAAGCAGAGATGCTGGAAAGAGTCTAACGACGAGGTACTAAGATGGTACAAGGTCTATCTGGCCTATCTTATGAAGACAGACTGAGACACCCCAACTTATTTCCGTTATCTTACCATAGAATACAGGGTGATCTAATATTGGCTAATCGTATACTGAACGATGAACTTGGTATTAGCGTAATATCTTTTACTTTTGTCTAGGACTGATCATTTGAGAGGACATTCGAAGTTCAAAAACCGAGATCAAATCGTTTACGTTTGGAGTTTCGTTTCTCGTACAGAGTAGAGAATTACTGGAATTCTCTACCGGAACAAGTAATATCATCACCTTCTGTTAATATATTTAAAACGAGATTGGACCTCCACAGTATTACAAACTGCAAGGATTAATATAGGTCGATAGACTTCCTATCCTTAATACTGAAAACTGTGTTCAGACCGTGACTTTGAGTCGAGACGTGATTTGCAAATATAACTTGGCAGACTTCAAAGTTAATATAGGTCTGTACAATTTGATAGTTGATAAATTGGCATGGATAATTTCTGTGAGATGGATTCGCTCCCAATCAATAAATATTCAGGGTCAAACATGCGTACGGTGAAGATAAGCATTATATTGAACGTGAAGCTGTCTAGAAAGCTTTGAGATTCACAGCAGTTTGGCTTGCTTTCTTATCTCTTTACGCAGTCATATTTTTATTGTTCGACATCGTTTTACTGATCATCAAATTATTTTTTATTAATACCTAAGAACATGACACGAACCACAGTTAATTTTTTAAACTACATACTAAATGTTTGTCCTAATATTAAATCGGAATAGCTTACGCTCAAACTCAGATTGGTGACCAACTTTGCTAAACAAGTTATGCCAAGTCAAAGATCAACCTTGGGGTCAAACGGGACAGTGTTGTGACCTCGAGATATTAATTTACTTTCAAGTTCCAAGCTTTTTCACGTTCGTTTCAAGTGCATAAATACGACATATAAGAAAATTCAGTATCAATTACCACTGGATCACCAAAAAAAATCAAGAATATGGGAATAAACGGGAAGTTAAGTTCTAACGTGATTTGCATTTATCAAACTTTTGCTGTGTTCTTACGCAACAAAAGTACCATTTCTGATCAAAAGAATCTATCCTGAGCTATACGTTCGGTAGATTGCTTTTCTCGAGTTTCACCCAATTTAATAGTTAACTGAGGTTTCGCCTCAACTCGTTATTCGGTTTTTTTCAGTTTTTCACGTAAAGGCTAGTTCAGTCTATCTCATCCGTTTTTATCCATTTTTGTCCCTTTTCAGTGTGCTTTTTAGTGTATTTTTTACGGTCTTAGGCTTTTGCTAGCATCTATAACACAGTTTACGTCAATATAGTCATGAAAAATTCATGCAAACGACCTGGATGCCGTTTTGCTGTTACATCTGGCATGCAGTGAGACAACTGCAAAGGTTGGTTCCACGAAGGGCGCGCATCGAAAACAAGAATAGGGATGTCGACAGGCCTAGCATTGATAGAGCATGCATTAGCACTGATGATGACATGTTGAAACTCATCACCATCATTACGTCGAAGGTATTGGACTCCCTAAGTAAACTCTGGTCTCCCAGTTCAGGGTCCTTGAATTCAACAGTGGTTCCCATAAACTCTGTAGGTGATTGCACTCACGTCAACAGAGACAAAAAGAACCGGGCGTCACTGTCTAAGCTGAACATCTCAAGTGTTGTACGGAAATCAACTGGTGATTTGGTTGTACAGTCTACCCCCAATAGTGTCCGTCTGGTCATAAAAGAGCCTAGGATTCAGAATCGTGCTTCGACCTACAAACAACAAGGTGCTGAACCTGAAAGCACCGGAAAACCTGGGAAAACATTAACGGTTCGTGATGACCCTGTGGAGATAGACCTGACAACCTTATTTTGTAAATAGTTTTCAATGTTATTTCTATTTGTTTTGCCAATTTTTCACTGTATGTACATTTATCATTAAATGACTGTACGTGTTGTTTTAGTCAACGACCTTGAACACTTTTTCCGTTGTAATTCGAACATAGCGTGGCACACATTTTCGGTTGTTCACAAATACACTATTACGCACATACCCATTGTTCTATTCTCGCTCGTTACCAAGTCAATTGTGTTCTAAACTGGATATTATCCTCATTTCAGACTGCAGTGTCATTCCCATTATATCCTACGTCAAAGAAACTTATTGGCGTCATATTTACCTCTGTGGAATTATTACGCATTTACAATTGTGGATTTTTGAGACCAAAACTCAACAGAACACGCAACGACTAGCCGATTTAAGTAACGTCCCTAATTTGTTATTGCATTTGTAACATTTAACTTGTAAATATTAATATTACTATTGATTGCTATTAACTTTGTTGATACTTTTGCGTTTATATATTGTTTGGTCCACCACAATTATTTGGTGAGCCTCGATTATTTTTTTATAGACATTTACTATATATATCTACATAAGTTTTTTATTATTATTAATCGACACGACACCATATTTTTGTTTTTGTCATTATGAACTCTCCGGGTAAACTTATTGATATTGATAGTTCACCGACCAACCTTCTAAACTCTCCACAACCAGAGGATAATGTTTTAAACTCAATCAACGCTGTCTCGGAACTAAGATTACCAACGTACGGTGTTAATAATCCCAGGATCTGGTTTGCACAGGTTGAGGCATTATTTTTGTCGAGAGGTATACGCTCGCAAGCGACAAAATATGCATACATCGTTGGAGCATTACCCATAGAGGTGGCAGCAGAAGTCGGAGACCTGATAGATAACGTACCAGAAACGGACCCCTATGACAAAATAAAAGCCGCAGTAATCCACCGTACTTCGCAGTCTGATGAAAAACGCTTACAGCAACTACTCACCGCATGCGAGTTAGGGGACAAAAGACCTTCACAGTTGCTTAGACATATGAGACAACTAGCAGGTTCATACAAGTTAGACGAAGCATTACTTAAGCAGATGTGGTCACAAAGGTTACCTTATAGCGTCAGACAAATTCTCAGCGTATCAGGAGCCTCTGTCAGTCTTGACGATTTAGCAGACATGGCCGATAAGATGATAGAAATATATCCCGATAGTCGGGGGATTTACGCAGTACAACCCGCCAGTAGAGATGCTATGAACCCTACTCTTGACATGCAGCAACAAATGACACACTTAACACGGCAGCTAGCGTCACTGCAGGCGACTATCTCCACCATCCATTCTCGACGCCCCAGATCTAGGTCCAGAAGGAGATCATTATCCAGACATCGTCATAGGTCACCTAAGCGGGCAGCTGGAATGTGTTGGTATCATTCGAATTATGACGAGAAAGCACGTCGTTGCACAAAACCGTGCACCTTCATGGCGAGCAAGCCAGACCATCAGGGAAACGAAGTGGCCAGACAGTAATAGCGGCAGCTGTTACTGGCCAACATGTCAGCCGCCTTTTCCACATCAGGGACCGTATTTCTGGCTCAGACTTTTTAGTCGATACGGGAGCAGAAATCAGCATCATCCCACTCCATCTCTCACGCAGACAACATACGATAAGCACTAAATTGTCCTTGGTAGCGGCTAACGAATCAGTTATCAAAACTTATGGAGAGCAATCTCTTATATTAGATCTCGGGCTCCGTAGAAGATTTGTAGAATTATGGTCTACTATGATATTAGTACTGCTCTTATAATAGACCTAATCCCAAAACTGTAGATTCGTCATGATATAACTGCCTAATCTATAAGATCTTACGTGGAAGTCACACCATCGACTACACCAACTCACTGTATCGTATCAATTACCAATACATGATGAGGAACAAGGTTAGGGTAGAGAAAGAACAATATATTTAATATGAATAGAAGATATAAAGTAACACTGAGATGGACCACGCCTGCATGGACGAGCCATGCCACTCGATCAACTCCAGTCCATTCAATTCCTTGTTCGCGCCTTCTCCATTGTTAGGTATTTCTCCGCGTTAAATATTGAATATCTATTTTCTGAGTAGTCTCGTGTTCACAGCTTTGTGGATTGTGTGGCTATTGTCCAATGCCACTACACTACTCTCCCACCAGAATCAACGTGATGTTGGTTCGATACCAAATTGGATGGGATCGTCGCGCGCCGGAGGTTACCAAGGATAATAAGAATCCTCCGGGTATTGGTAAGCTGAAAGATAAATCAAAAAGAAAGCGGCAGCATCTGGTCGGGAAATACATGTAATGATTTTAAAATATCTGCCTTCATGTTTAAAACGCTTGAAATGAAAATCTGGGTGAAGAATATTTA